TTATCTGCAATGGCCAAAAGGTAGAAAACCACCCAAATGTCCAACAAGTTGGAGGAGGAATGGATAAACAAAACGTGCTATATACATACAATGGCATTTTAGTCTTAAAATGGAATGAAAGTTCGACATATGCTACAACATGGATGAACCCTGAAGACATTATGCTCAGTGAAATAAGCCAGTCACAGCCAAAGGACACATATTGTATGATTTCACTTCTACAAGGTACTTAGAGTAGTCAAATTCATAGAGACAGAAAGTAGAATGGTGGTTGCCAGGGGCTGGGGGAAAGGGGAGAAACTGTTTATAATGGATGTGGAGTTTCAGTTTGGGAAGATAAAGTTCTGGAGAGTGATGGCAGTGATGGTTGTACAACAGTGCAAAAATGTACTTAATGCCGCTGAACTGTACACATGAAAATGATTAAAATGGCAAATTTTAGGGTATGTGTATTTTACTCCCACAAAAAAATGTTGAAAAAAAAATCCTAAAGAGTAAAGACACTTAATGCTGCCCTCTCTCCTGTATTTCAGCTTTTGCAAGGCAATTTCGGCATCACTGCAAAACTTCAGGGTCCTCTCCTCCGGCCTTTGCCAAGTTCATCGGTCATCTTAACACACTTTCTTCCCCAGAGTCGCCACCCTGCCCCTGCCTGAGCACTGCTGAGCCAGGAAGCTCACTCTGACTCTGGGCAGCCTCTTCAGCTTTCAAAGGGCTCGGCTCTCCGGGTGACAGGTATGGATGCAGAGAGGATGCCGGACCCCTTTTCTTTCCCACACTGCTCGACCTTCCCTTAATCAGACTCCCCAACCCTCTCTGCTATTTTCCCACAAAAAAAGTGGAGACGCCGACCGTTTTATAGGGGATGTGACTAGACCGGTGGGCACCTGTTTTTCTTTACACTGTCTTAAAAGGGGGAAGCCTGGGGAGCTGATGCTTTCGCCAGACTGCAAAAGCCGTCAGAAGGCTAAGTGTAGGAATTTGCCTCTGGCTTGTGGATCAGTGGCACTGTGGATTTCAGTTTGGGGAATGGCCATGGACTATGCACTCCTATGGCTTTCGGAGAAGACCCCCAGAGCGAGCAGAAAATGCTCCTGCAATACAAGCCTGCCCACAGCAACTGAGAATGACAGCGCCAGGAGTACAGCCAAGAGAAAAACGAAAACAGTTGGCCATGGAGACGCTCTGCAAGTCGAAAGCTGCCTTGATCAGACCCCTAAGGAGAAAAACAACAATGGCTGTGCCCATGCAGAGGGCCAAGGTACCCGTCGGTCACTCTGCCCCTTGATCCCCAGTGTGAGCCCCAGCCAGCTCTCCCAGCAGGCTGAGCTCACACCCCTCACCTGTCAGGACAGACCTACAGACCCCACACCCCCCAACAAACACAGCCCATGGTCAGAACAATGGGGCTGCTTTCACGCAGCTTGAATGTGGGAGGTCATGGCTCTTGCAGAATTATCCGTTTGGGGGCCAAGGAGACCATTCGACTTTGCCATAAGTAAAATCCTTGTACCTCCGAGCATCCACTTATGTCCATACTCTGGATCTCAGAAGCAAAAGATCTGAGCTGGCACAGGCCAAAAGGGAAAGAGACCCCTAGTGCAATTCCTCCCACCCCTTCTTTTCGTAGGTGAGGCCCAGAGAGGGGGTGCCCCGCCTGAGTCAGTAAGGGGCAGAACAGGACTAAGCTCGAGTCCTGGCCGGGTGGATTACCACCCCAGGTTGCATAACTCATCCACAAACACCCCTAACAGCTCTGTAAAGTCGTTCACATCTGTTAGTTCTTTAAGGATAAAGGCTGAGAATTAACCTTGTTCCCTATTCCCCAAAGTGTCCGACCCAGTGCAGAATGTGTGGTCAGAGCACAGTAAATTCTTTCCAAATGAGAGAATCCCTGAGCTGGGCCCAGAAAGGACATGAGGCAAGGATAAGGGTTCCCTCTGATGGGGGTGGGGGGAGTCCATGGGAGACTCCCAGAGTCAACCAGGACATGAAGGGTTGGGTGAGCTCCGAGTCCCCAGTGATGACGTAGTGCAGATGATGTCAATCTCATGTACACGTCATGTAGCCCCATGTCTCTCATGAGCTCGGCAGGTCTCGAGAGCCAGGCTAAGGTCCCCTGCCATCTCACAACTTCATGGCTTACGATACCCAGACCTCCCTGTCCATGCACATCCTCTCCACACGGCCAACGCCCCAACTCAAGTGTGACAGTTGTCTCAACAAGTATCATCGCCCCTGCTCCACTTAACGCATGAAACAAGGCAGGATTCCTCATCTCTCCCTAACAATGCCCCTTCCTCTTTCCAGCTTCCCAAGTATTGCTGGAGCCCCTTTGATCATGAAATGATATGCAGTTGTGTTTGTTGGTGGCATTAAAGAAGCAGTAAGTTGGTTTATACATACTTGTCCAGATAGCCACATTCTGTTGACTGCTCTGATGTGGAAACACCTTTCTCAGCAATAATAGATTCCTCAAAGGATCAGCCAGAAAATAGCCAGCCTGGTGGCTCACATGGTCCCAGCACAGAGGCAAATCCGTGAGTCTAATTCTTTGAGAAGCTGGGTTTTAACAAGACAGATTTTCCATTTCATCATTATTTATTCCAAAACATATCTCCACTATACTGATCTCATTCCTCTCCAAAGGTCTATGAACCTCACTGGACAGATTTGTTGTTTCCTTTCGCCTGTCCACCTGGCAGCCTCTCAGCACCCTACCCTAATCTGTCTTTAACGCTCTCCCCGGTCCCTATAAATGGGTGGAACCTTTCTACTATCAAAATCCACCGCCCCATGGTCAAGATCAAGGACCACACGTGACAATCGCATTTGGCTGATTTCATTTGTTTGGCTTGTTTTGGAGAAAAAAGAAAATTTTCAGTTTGCTTGGTTTTTCCATTCAGAACAGGGAACGTGAAACTTTATTTTCAGTAAATCGAGCCCACCTCAGGCCAGCTTGTAAGATATGGGGACATCCGTCTTGTGTTCTAATTTGACTTTATTTTCTCTATTTCAATTTCCTCGGCTACTTATCCTGTGGCAGGTACCTGGGGAAACTATCTCAAATCATTTCTTTTAAGTCAGGCTGTAAAAAAAAAATCCATAAATAAATTTGATTCATGTCACCAATAATAAGAAAATACTGTATTTTTATAATATATGTATACATAGGGCCAGTGAAAGGAGAGGAGGGAAGATGGAAAAATAAAGAGTGAGTCAGTGAGCAAAGGGGAGGGAAAGCAGGAGAGAAAGACTGGGATGGTGGGAACCAGGGCTTACTAGCCGAGCCTCCCTGGTAGCAGCACGAGAATCCACACGCACAGGCACTCACTCCCATCACCATCTGCTTCTCTGGACTGAACAGTGAGAATTGCTACTTTTCCGTGAAGGCCTGCTCTGTGGCAGGTGCCCTGCATGTGTTATTTACAGTCTGCACAACAGCTCCAGGAAGCAGGAACTTTACCCTTGAAGAACTTGAGCTCAGAGAAGTAACTGAGATTACATTGCTAAGGGTGGACTGTCATGGTCGTGAGCTGTTTTTGTCTGCTCAGCATCCACCCCCTCTTCTTTGGTGACCAAGTCTCACTTTGCTTCTGGGAAAACCCGCTCCTGGCTGTCAGTGTACTCTTCCTCAGGCCACCCGGGCTGGCTCAGGGGCAAACACCTGATCTCATCCAGGGCAAGGAGATTCAACCCCGCGAATTCAGTTCAAAACAGTCAGAGAGAGGATTGCTTTCTACTGGTGTAGCAAATGAACTAACATCAAAAGAGGAGGAGCTACGGGTGGGGGAACAAAGAAAGAGACTAATTAAGAGGCAAGTCCCTTGGGCTCTGGGAAGTGGCTGAGGTTGCACGTCCAGCTTGGAAAGCTGGTAAGTCCCACGGCCGCCACCACCATTTTTAACTTTTTCAAGCCAGTGTGAATTCCATCACTTGCAACCCAAGGAGTCCTGGCTACCATTGCCTGTATGTGAGAGGCTGATTCAGACCAGGCCCATCTGACTCCAAAGCATGTGCCCTGCTACCCACCACTTGGCTTCCCTAGAACATGGTGGGTCTGGGGAACCAGCCATCTTCACCTGGGAGATCCACGCTCCTGGCTGTTGCCTCCCCGCAACCCAACATCAGCCACTCTTCCCTGGAAAGTGCTGTCTCGGAGCAAAACAGAGAGTCACTAAGCAAGGGCCTGACATGGCCAGACAGTGTAGTTAACACGGCTGTGGGAAATCTGAGCCACTGGAGCCTACACATAATTGTGCCCACTGATTGTAGCAGGAAAGGTCAGAATGCTAAAAAGATAATTTAGACAAATTGTCGAAAAGAAATTAAAACTGAGACAAGAGTTAGATCAAGCTCAGGGTTCAAGGCTCCCCATCCCTGGCATAGAGATTTATAAAGAGGGAAAAATCTAAGAGGATTCAACCTCAATTCGATGGCAGAGTTCAGGGGACACAAATCTAAACCTAGAATTTTAGACATAGTGGGAGCTTATAAGTCATCTCACCCAGCGTGACCCAGAACCAGAATCCCTTCCTGATATCCTGAGTACTGACCATCCAGTGTTTCAGTTATCCCCGCAAAAGGAGAATCACTACCTAATGAAGACAGTTTATTCCATCACTGAACAGCTCTGCCTATTAGCAAAATCTTCCCCAGATGATGAAAATAAAAATGACTAATGTGTGAGTGTTCCTTTTAAAGGAGAATTCTGTCTCAGCTCAGTTTCTAGGACAATGTGTAAAAAAAGGACAGAAACAGGAATGCCAAAATGGAACACGTGTATGAGAAGCTGGCATAAAAGCCATAAAGGCAGAAGAAAGGGGAAGAGAAGGAAAATAGAGAATTCACAAAGGCGGGGTGATAGGGGAAGTTCTCGGTTCAGGAGTGAAGGCGAGAGATGCTGGTGGGGCAGGGAGTGGGAGACAGAGAGAATATAAGAGGCGGGGGAAAATTTACCACATCTTGCTATCCATTCAAAATATGTTTACTTCCCTTGACCTTATTCCCAGAGTTACCAGTACAGTTTTAATTGTATTTAATTGCTTTTGCTTGCTGGACTGTATTCCTCAGAGTGCAATTCTCTACAAGGCCAGACCACATGAAGTCCAGTTTGGGCCTGAATTACAACTACATTCATTTCAAGTCTATTTCCTTGTAAATCCCACCCAGGTCATAAGGGCAGAGAGGCAGGGATGAAGACATAGACCCGATTGTGGACCTGAGACATAGGATAAAGGCTTGATTATAAAAGAGATAAAAAAAAATGAAGTTGCTAGAAGTAGAGCTTGTGGTCAGAATGGGAGTAGTTGGAAGATTGGCCAATTTGATGGCAAATCACCTAAGCTAAGTACATTTCCTAAGGACACCCTCAGTCTCAGCCAACCACAGGCTGAGTCGAGTGTGGAGAGAGGCAAGCCATGGAGATGGGCACCCAAGCACGTTGTGACAGCAGGGGTCTGTCAAGGCCCCTCATTGCTGCCTCTTCAAAGCATAAAGGACTGCAGGCCAATCAGCTCCCCAAGGAAAGAAATTTGACCAAAGGAAAATGGGAGAAAGGAGGAGGCTGGCCATTAAACTCCCCATCTTTGACCTCTTCTGTGGATAACGCTGAGGTGTGATTTCTCCTTAGGTGGGATTTCTCTTTGCAGTCCTTCCTAGAAAGTCCCACGTGCCAAGCAGACACCCGTGCGTGGCCAGCTGTTCCTGAGCTTCCCTGGGAAGGGATGACCAGTGTAATCACACACTGCATCCCAGTGTTTCAAATCTTTCCGCGTCTCACGTCCTCTTTCTCCTCAGCGTCACTGCCCTAAGCTTGCTCGCCCACGTAAAATGTCAACACTTCAAACCCTGCCTTAAGTTCTCCTTTCTAGAAAACTCTAGAGAACTCCAGGCTAAGACAGCCATTATCTGGACTCCCAGCTCTAATGCTTTTTCCACCTAACACCAAATGTTCCCTTTTCTCCCCTCGAAAAAATATTTGTGAACGCACTTGGTTCTCCCTGACCCTGAAGCCCAGTTCTTTAGCTGAGCTCACGCCTGCCTCCCAGGAGAGCTGGAATCATTCCTCTTGGGGTCTCAGCCTCTTCCTACAGAAGTCACATTATGAAATCTTAAGTGGAAGTTGTGAAGTCTTCTTTCCTGACTTGTCTGACATTATGATTCCCTGTTCCCAAACTCCACACATGTTCACAAAAAGATACCCAACTTCAGGTCCTACCCATCCCCTCTCTCCTTTATCTTTACTCCCCACCTTCTCCTTCACTTGTCACAATCACTCCTGCTCACTCCCTTATTCAAGTCATTTCCCCATCACACACTCTCTTAATGCCATTTACCTTTTCCTAAGCTTGCTAAGCCCCTCTTCCCAGCTTTTCACACATCTCTGGAAATTCCACCTTTCTAAAATGTATTCCCTAAAAGGCACAGTCAGTGTCTGGTCACGTCCGACACTCCAGTTCAGAGGTAATAGAGTATAACGTTCCCAACACCACATCTGCACGAGTAAGTCATACCTGGTAGGCCCGGTGCACCCACCGCCCCCCAGACACACCTGGTTAGAGCGCTGATCACTGAGAACTGTAACTGTTTGCACATCTGTCTTCCCAAGGAAGCTATGCACAGCTTGAGTATAAGGAGCACGACTTGTGTTTTTGTATTTCCAATATCCGACACGTCAGAACACTTAATGATTGTTGAGTAAATGAATAGATAAACAGAAACATGTACTTATATGGATCAACTGCTGTTGTATAAAGTTCCAAAAAATCCATTTGGCTTGGTTGGTCCTCCGGAGTAGTTTCCTATCAAATACTGCTTGAAATATGTAAGATACCAGTTAGGAAAGAAAAAATATTACAACCCAATAGAAAAATGGGAAAGGATAGTTCGAGGCAATGCATCAAAATGTAAACATAAGGAGCCATAAGCTTGAAAAGATGCTCAACCTCACTAGTAACCACAGAAGTGTAAATTAAAATAATAAACATCGTTGAGAGGTATAAATTCGTGTAGACTTCTGAAAGGGCAGTTGGGTAGTATTTATCAATCCTTATGTGTTTTGATAAGGCAATTCTAATTCTCAGGATCTATCCTGCTGAAAGGCCAGTAAGGTATAATACGTACAAGGGCGATTATTACAGCACTACTTGTGATCATGAAAAACACAGAATATCTTAAATGTTAGTTAAACAGAGGAACAGTTCATGAATTATGGATATTTTTGTTATAAAATATTAAATGAGTTTTAAAGGATCAGGTAGAGCTGTATATTCATAGAAAGGCTGCTAAGACATGTTGTTAAGACAAAGAGAGAAGAGAGTCGCAGAACAGTGTATATGGTATGAGATCATTTACATGAAAAAAGAAATGATCTACACGCGTATATACACGTAAATGCAGAGCAACAGGAAGGACCCAAGTGCTGAGAGTAGTTTTTGAGGAAGAAAGGAAGGGAAACAGAGCCACAGGGGGAGATGGCTGAATGGGAACTCTTACTTTTAATTCCATATGCCTCCCTGTTGTTTCAATTGTTTATATCATGCATATGATCACATACTACTTTGCAAGTTAAAAAGATGACTGACATATTATGCAGACATCACCCATGTCAAAGCTCAAGACGGCTGAACACAAGTGCTGCAACTCTAGCGCTGTCTGCCTGTCTGCTCTGGGAGTCTGTGAATTGGTTTCCCAAGGGTTCCACAGGTGCAGCCAAATGTGGCAGAAGCCACTCTTAAGCCCACTGCCCACTAACTTGTACTTCAAGGAGCTCGTGTTCATGCAGTCCTCATACCAAAGCGTCCTTGTTTAACTAAACATCTTCTGAGACTGCAAGATACACGATCAAAAAGAATTACCATTTGCAACTGCTTATGCATATGAAACAGGGCTTTCTCCTTGATGTACATCCAAAATAATATGCAGAATTAAATTTGATACTTAAGCCTGGATGGCAAATGTTACCCGTAACCCTGATTTCAAATGTTTATATTCATCAGAGTAGCTCCATTGTTCTCTATAGCTGAGTAAATTCATGCTAATAAAATATTATTTATTTTAAGTTGAAGTCCAAATACAATTTTTGTTTTTCAGATGTCCAGAAGAAAAATAGAAAGGTTTGAAAGCCTCAGCTCTAATCCAACCTGCTCAAGTTTCAGATAAGGAAATTGAGCAAAAGTAAAGGGAGACCTAAGAAAGCAATTCTCCAATGAAGACATACAAATGGCCAACAGGCACATGAAAAAATGCTCAATATCGCTAATAATCAGATAAATGCAAATCAAAACTACAATGAAGTATCACCTCACACCAGCCAGGATGGCCATCAGTAAAAAGTCCACAAACGATAAATGCTAGAAAGGCTATGGAGAAAAAGGAACACTCCTACACTGTTTGTGGGAATGTAGTTTGGTGCAGCCCTTATGGAAAACAATATGGAGATTCCTCAAAAAACTAAAAATAGACTTACCATGTGATCCAGCAATCTCACTCCTGAGCATATATCCGGAGGAAACTCTAATTTAAAAAGAAAGATACATGCATCCCAATGTTCATAGCAGCACTATTTACAATAGCCAAGACATAGAAGCAACCTAAATGTCCACTGACAGATGATTGGATAAAGAAGATGCAGAATACTACTCAGCAATAAAAACGAATAAAATAATGCCATTTGCAGCAACATGGATGGACCTGGAGATCATCATTCTAAGTGAAGTAAGCCAGAAAAAGAAAGAAAGATACTGTATGATATTGCTTATATATGTAATCTAAAAAGAAGAAGATACAAATGAACTTATTTACAAAAGAAAAACAGGCCCACAGACATAGAAAACAAACCTATGGTTACCAGTGGGTAATAGGGATGGGGAGTGATAAATTGGGAGTTCTAGATTTGCAGATACTAACCACTAAATACAAAATAGATAAGCAAGTTTCTTCTGTATAGCACAGGGAACTATATTCAATACCTTATAGTAACCTATAATGAAAAATAATATGAAAAGGAATATATGTATGTATATGTATAACTGAAATATTATGCTGTACACCAGAAACTGACACAACATTGTAAACTGGCTATATTTCAACTAAAAATAAATTAAAAGTAAAAAATACATTAAAAAAAAAAGCAATAAAGGGGAGTGACTGTCAAGATCCCACAGCTCAAGGGTCAGAGCCAAGCCACCCAGCCAGCCCCAAGCCAGAGCTCAGGCAGTACAAGTGTAATTATGACCTTCCTACACCCCTGTACATGCCAAGTTCTTTTCATATCTTATCTAATTTGAACTCACAGCCATCCAGTGGACTGGGGGTTGTGAGTTTGTCAGTGAGATAAATGAGGCTCTGATATATCAAATAACTTTTTCTAAATCACACAGTTAATAGACGGAGTAGCTCAGCTTCCAAAGAGAGACCTCTTCCCACAACATCAGTGGGTCAGATCACTACAGGGCCTGGGGAGGTGGGGTGGCTTGTCTCTAGTCCAGATTATAAATCCCTTGATGGCAGATACTACCTCTAATATTGTCACTTCCACAGAGCTGCTAATAGAATGCAGGGTCACATGACAAGAGGCTCACTAATCAGCTCTCCAATCCAGAAAGATCTACTCACCACCTGCCTTGTGTCTAGCCTGTACTCAGGGCAATGGGCATATTTAAAAAGAAGATACTACCATCATTATAAAGTACTCTTTATAAATACCTGTGTACTTGAGTGCTGTGCAAAATAGGGTTCCTGGCTGCATAAAATACAAACTAATTTAGTTTAATTTAAATAGAATTCACTGGAAAAAGATCAGATTGTAGGAATTACTATGAAGACAAGAGAGGGCACTCTGAAAACAGAGAGAAACCAATGGGGGCCAAGCAGGCAGAATAACATCCAAAATCGTGCCATGGCAAAAATCAGGCTACAGACACCACACACTCCCCAAAGGTGACCAACTCATCCTTCACTGTGGCCCCCCAAACTGGCCAGTCCAAGGTACAGAAGAATACTGCTTGCTCTCATTGTCCCCAACAAAAGATACTGTTTGCTGCTGCTGTTGCTGAAG